GAATGAATGAATGAATGAATGATTGAATGAATGAATAAATGAATAAATTAATAAATGTATAAATGAATGAATGAATGAATGAATGAATGGCCACTTCGACTTGGGATCCTTCCCTGGTCAGCATGAACATTTGAATACCTCTCCTTCTCTAACCTCTATTAGCATTCACATCAAGTTTGTTCGTGAACTTTGCCCTCTATTTCTGACATGCTTCATGCAAGCGGTAGAATAGAGCCAGTTCTTTGCAGAATGCATGTGTTCACTGCAACTAGTGAGCAACTCATTTTTACTGTTTTTCATTCAGGAAAATCACCACCCCTTGAAACTGGCTTTTGAGAAAATTCATCTGTTCCTGGATAAGAACCAAAGTCATCAACCCTATTCAAGGTGCGTGACGGTGTCCTTTTTATACTGGAACTGTATAGCTATAACATATATCGCCTGATACTTTTGATTGGAATGATCAACTGCTAGTTGCATTCACCGCGAGTGTGGTCGCCAAGAGCCTATTTTCAAGACCTCTGTTAAGACGGAAACTGTAAATGAGCCTTTCATTGTATGCTTTGCTACGCTCTCTGTGACGCTTCGTTCAACTGGATTTTCAGAAAAGAAAATAGAAACTAGCTTAGTTTCAGAGAAAACAATTTTAGAAGAACGTTTTCGTGCCCGTCTCTTTTAACAATCAGGATGGGCATTGTAGCTCAAAAAAACTATGCAAAGATCGTAATAAATCAATGTAATGTAATGCATGAGACGCAACCCAATAGATGCATGCATTTATACCAAGACATCAGTAATTAAATGAGGTTGGTGGAAACAACTATACAAACAACAGTATCAAAGTATCACAGTTTTCATGAATCAGTGAATCACATCAAAGTTATTACTTTACATTATTATATAATAAGTAATCTTTCACCACCCGCTAGACTGTTTAAGATATACAAGTATAGTATAACAACCGCAAAGTAGCAAGATTGAAATCGATGTGACGTGTCTCAGTTAAGAACCATATGTTTAGGACGAAGATGCGAGTAAGGGCTATAGTTACAAAGAAGTTAATGCAGTTGATAAGGTAGAAAAAAGCCCCACTTGAATGAGTGCCCTCAAGAGCACCTAATGGAAGTCTACCGGTTCTGAACTATGATATAGTGTGAAGATGGTATTTCAAAGAGCCGTTAGGCTGCCACAATTCGAAGACACGGCTACTCTGAACCTGCCAAAAAATCTCATAGGTAAAAGAAAAACATTTGCAATGGCATGGCAGAAAAAGAGGTGCACAAAATAATCAAAACAAAATACGGGTGTCATTTTCAGTGAAAGCATGCATTGAAAGATTCCGGAATAATAGTGACGGTGTTGCATGACAAATAGATTTTATGAAGAAAGAATCAACATGCCGTTTGTCGGTTGTGACAAGTGCTGTTTTCACAGCAACATACTCGAACTATTCGGCACCCGCAACCGGATGAAAGGCAATGAGAAACCTTGATATCCTTGGAAATGAAATACGTTTCAAGCGTGTTACATGAAATTAGACCGCCAACTCTTCAAAGCCGACTTACTTCGATTGTCTGGCACCCAGCATCCATTTTTACCGTGGGAGAGGAAGTGGACACACTCAGCACACTCAGCTGTGTGGGATTGTTCTCGCATGCAACACCGACCGGTGGAAGAGTCACCTTAAAACAACTCAAACAAAAATAAATTCACAAACTAGTTTTTAGCTTCTAGTACCCGCAAAAGCTAAGCGGCTGTATTCCCTGGTTTCAAAGTTCAATGCTCTCCGAACGAGAATCTTGCTTCTCAAAATTTAAAGCAATCGCGGGTACGGCTCTCCACACATCCCGTTTCAGCATTCTGTTTGATGTTCGTTTACTGCAATGCTATTGATACTGATGATGCCCGCTCATTTTGATCAATTTAAGCGATCAGTTTTTTGCTGTGTACTACATCTCATTAGCGAGATTGCGGTTAGTCCGAAGTTTGAAAAGATATCAACGTGCGTTGTTACGATCACTGAAGAGAGAGCATGTGGAATTCGCTGATCAATAAACATGAAATACTGCTGTTGAGCTGAAATAGTTTAGAGAAGAGAGGATTCGAGCCGAGCAGGCTTAACACAATCTACTAGATTTTCATCGCTAATTTACAAGCTGCTTGGTCAAAAATGAATTATACCTTGGAGGGGGAGGTTCCACACGCTGCTGGTTTTGGAATAGGACCTTAAGGACAATACCGCAGTCTGCTATGCGGTAGTGAACACAGATGCAGATCTATCTCCTCTTACTTCTCAACCGTATCAATAGATCACTGTAGCTATTTCAATCCCCTCGATTTCTCGATGAACAAGAAATTCCATGGCTCTCTAATAACGTGCTCAATCTCAGTGACTGCTACCTACACGGTCTACAAAAGGGTGCGAGCGTTGGTCCCAAAATCAACATGAGAAGACAGGTCGAGATTTCCTAGTTTTGTAAATGTAAGCAGAAACGGTGCAGTAAGACTAGACACCACTTTGAACGCTATGATAAAAATCAAAATCTTAAGCTCACGATTCAAAACCTGTTTTGTAACGAGAAGCTGCCCTCAACATATCTTCGTTAGTTTCTGTTTTCAGTACGGAGAATGATTTTCCAAAGGCATACGAGGCATAAAAACCATAACACTTTCAACAATCCAATGATGAACCTTAGCTTGATATACATAATTGATACTCACCATTTCCACGAATACCTATCACTAGTCCTCTTATTTAGATAGCTTTTGTTTATACAGTAGCGCTCAAAAGTCTTCGGCCAAATGGTTCTTAAGCCCTACTTTTCAGTTGTAACTCCTTCCCTACTGGATCTAATCATGCGAAATTTCAATGTTTAGCCCTCTATTGGCCTGCAATCTGATCATGTTCCAAATATTCCGGAGAGCTTGAACTCAAAATCGACTGGACGCATGATGGCCCTTCTAGAATTCCTTTGCTTTTTGTCATGTCTAAAGTGTACGAGCGCTAATGCCGATCACAGTAGAGGAGAAAAACGCACAAAAGCTGCGAATAGCTGCAGACGCCATCAACTTTTAGCGAAGTCTGCTACCGCAAAACACCTTGCTCCTAGTTATGTGGATACTGCTGCTTTGCAGTCAAATAGTGTTGGATAATATGAAATATGTTTTGGTTGAACATATCAAAATTTCGCACGAATTGCTTCACTAGGAAAAAAGTTATGAACGAAAAAGCGCAAAAGCGTTTGCCCGAAGACTTCTGAGCGCTACCGTATCTATATTCTTGCACACACCAGCTACATATTTAGCTGGGTTCCTCTACTGAGGTTGTCATTAAATTCCCAACTATCATTTTATTATATACCTCTCGCTTCGGTTGAACGACAGTTACGGGCTTCGATAGTGTAGCGATTGCTGACAAAACATCCATGCTGCCAGGAGTCAAAATGTTGGTCCAGAGAAAAGACATTGGATCTTGATCTACACCGTTTAGCCATGGAGCTGTCCTATAATAGGCCAGCTCAAAAGTTACTAACTACGAAGACAATATGAAAAAGTTGGCGCAACCCTAACATTCCATTCAGAAGATTTGCTTGAAGAAACGAGTTTGGATGTTCGTTCTGTGACTTGTGCTGAGGTGGCACAGCCGCACTTTGACGAAATGGAGAGTCTGGTTTAACCATCGACAGACCGTTGTTAAAAAGAGGCAAACCGACATCACGGGACTGCAATGAATTACTTGTTTTACGTTAACATGTGCCTGATATAAACAATAAGTTTCGAAAACAGCTCACTGCGTCTGATCTATCTGTCTTTTGCACTTTCATAAGGCTCGCCATAATGTTGTCGTTCATAACCTGCATGGGATAGTCGTCATCCTCTTCGGTCTTCAATATGTCCTCAAAACTGGAATATCAGTTCCTTGTTTTCGAGCTGAACGGAGTCCAAACTTACATCTAATCCTTCGAACATCATTAGCTTTCTCTTTTGTGGATTCACTGGCCGAGTCCTAGGTTTACGCGGTTTACCGACACGAGAGCGCGCTAGTTGTATGCTCTTGCGTAAGCTCTCCTTGTTTTCGAATTCTCCAATAAAAAATTGCACGACCAAGATCAAAACCACAGTGATTACCTTGTGAGAAGGTGAAAGCTTACCAACTCCTTGGCTGAGATAATCGCAAGCCTGATTGACAAGCTCGCCAGCGTCCAAATCAAGATTTTCAAGTGCAGCCATAAATAGCTGAGACTGAAATTCAGTTCATTTATCCATAAACTTCCCATTCACTGGAGAAGGTTACGGGAACATTTTGCATAATTGAGGTCGCTTCGAGCTCCGTCGCAAGGGGATATTGATTAGGTGTATATACTGCATGTTCATTATTCTTCCCTCATATTATTACTGAGTGTTCGATCACTTGTACGATCGCACCTAGCTAAGTTCACTTCGCATCTAGGCGCAAAGCGACTACGACTACTACAAAAACTGCATGGTCACTATGTCACTTGCATATAATTATCAACAGAGTCAAAGGTGGCAACTGATGAGAATAGTTAAAGTAAGGAAAGTAGGAGTTCCAAGTGAGGCTTCTAAAGAAGTCAGGATATCGAACAGGAAGGATCCCACTTGCACTGAGTTAGAGAGCTTTGTTCTTGTCCAGAATAAATGAACTCGATATATTTTGTACTCTACAAGAACCTTCTACTGTTTTTGAAAAGAGAATTCACGGAATGCTTACAGAGAACAGAGTGACCCTTCCGAACTATTCGAGTGTCCACGATCCATGCTTCTTTCCACAGGAGCTCAAACCGAAATGTATCGGATTTATTTATTCTGCGTGAAAATAAAACTACTGGAGCCAGAGGTGTTGAATGTTTCTCTATTCGGAAACCTAACTTTCCATGAGACTTCACTTTCTTACTGTACATATTTTCACCAGTAGTAATCTTCAACTTGGTTGACAACGGTATGCAGCAGCATTATGACCATGGAGTCTTCGCACTGAACTGAGGTTGCTTCGCGTTAAAGTGCCAGGTGAACTTGTTCCCATTGTTAAGTTCCCATTCCATGGTTACTATGTGAGTAAAATGTTATAAACGAGGAGTATTAGAACAGTAAGAAGGTGAAGCTTTTATAGCAATTAAGGTTTTCAACAGGGAAAACTTCGATATCATTGTTCAGAAGCTTTATTTCCGAGCGAAATAGATAAGCTCAATCATTTTTCAGTCAAAATTCTTGTAATCGTGAACAGACGCGCTATTCCACACGTTTTGCTAAACATTTTCCATATTCCCTATGCACAAAAATAAAACTCCCAGCCACTGATGTAGGATTTCTCTTAGTTGGAAACATCAGTTTTCTTTAGACACTACACTTTTTTAATTTTGCCATTCTCTTCATTTATTTATCTTTACTCACTTAACAACGATATGCAGACAGCATAATGACCATGAACAGCATACCGTCTGCACACCTAATTGAAATCGCCTCGCGCCGGGCTATTTTACGCGAAACAGTAGGTTTTACATAGTGAAGAGCTTATCTAGTAAAATCACTACGCCACTCTTGCTAAATAACCCTGAGGAAAATTTGTGATACTCTTGCACCATTGAAAAAAGATGTTTCGAACTACTGCGATATCTATACGGCATAGGGGATCACATGGTGTACCGTAACACCTGAGGTTTTGGAACATTCCGCAATGGCGTGATCTCTGATACCAGGGGCATGTGGTCCCTGTATATATGTGATCCACAATGAAGGGTCATCCAGGGTATTGCGTAATCCGTAAGCGATGTGCCCGGTTATGTGGATGTCTCGTGATAAAACTTTGCAGCTCCACGATTTCAAGGAAGATGCAACCTTGGGAGTGGGAGTCAAAGCGAAGCCGTTGGAAATTCTGCGCATCAGCAACTTCATTATAGAAGCAATCAATTCGGACAGAGCACTGTGATCGGGACATACACTTTTAAAAAGGAAAAAATTACAAAAAATGGAGAAGAGGTCCCTATGTATAAGCGCAATATCCCTGCGTCACAAGCTAGGAATCTTTACTTAGCCAAGTGTTTTGCAGGAGTTAGATACAAACCAATGCCAGCCGTTAAAGCAGCTATTATTTACTTCTGCGAACAGCCGCAGTGAGTGGATTAAGAAATCCAAGACTCCCTCCTGGAGGCAGTTAAGCGATCACTACCACCCTCTCAACATTCGAACATTATCTATTTGTACAGTATTACCGCTCATACACGGCGCAATAAAAATCATCCAACCCCTGATGAGCATGTAAACGAAAGTCAAAACTGTATTTATACAAGAGTATACGGAGGTAAAACGTCAAGAAGATAGTGTATAACTCAGCATGTAGCTTCTTTTACCAGATATGCTGAATGGCATTCACCAGAATATATAGAAAGTAAGGAGACTGGTTTTTCGTGTCAGCTTCTACATGGGCCAGATTGGGAAATGACAGTAATAGTGGGAAAATGTGGCTACTCTACATATTTACAACTTGCCGCATGTGCGTAGGTCTTTAAATTCAAAATTTCGAATTATCTCTCTCAAGGCTTAGGTGCGGGGCAAGATGTTATCGCGATGGAAGGTTGCAGAAAGTGGTCACGAATGCTGAAGGTTGACGAGGAGTCCTAAAAGAAATATGCTTGAAGACGAGGTGTGACGCAAAGCGATAACAATCGATAAAGGGCGACAAGGCATATAGAAAAGGCAGGTGGGAGAGATTTCACGCTCTTTTTAGAGCAGGCAATCCATAAAGAAAATAACATGTGAAGGAACTGAGGGGTTACGCCGCCATATTCTCCGCGATGGCAAATATTATAACACATCTCATATGCTGAAGAAACGCCGAGAATTTACTTACGCATTCTTATTCTGTCTTTTATCCTTCACGTAGGAAGGATAAAAGACAGGATAAAAACGTTACTCTGACATAACATGTTGGATTGGAATGTGTCTTTGCCAATAATAAAGCCCGCTTGAGGATGTGATCCCACATTCGACTTGTTCTTGAAATTATAGCGGCAGTTTGTATGCGTATGTGGCCGATCAATGGATTGCGGTGGCCAACAAGTATTTGTACAAGGAAGTATTTCAACCTAACAGACGAAATTGGCACCCACCACCCAACCTTGGTTGGCCTAGGCAAGTATTGTCCGGGATTTGAATTATGCACGTGTGATAGTGCTCTAGTTGCCACTACAACAGCTCATCAAAGCTTGGACGACATGACAACATGTCGTGTTGAGAGTCTGCAGTGGCTGCTTTCAGACTTTAACGATTCTTCCGACCGTCCATCCTTCCCTTCGTTCAACGCGTGCGCGACGGCGGCGCCTGACCGTTGTTGACAACACTAGATCACGTGCCAGCGCTGTCAACACTACTCTAGCGCCGCCGTCGCAGCACGCAAGCGACCGCCGCGCGCACGAGTTGAACAGACGGATGGGTGGATGGACGGACGGTCGTCGAAGTCTGAAAGCGGCCAGTTACATATCACGATCACACATGACTTAAGCCCTAGACTGGCAGTGAGACAAACGAAACATCTTCAATCGAAAGGAAAAACCGAAGGAGATGGTGGAAGGAATGATGCCTAGTAAGAGCCAATCAGTCACAAAAACAGCTTACGGTGGTCGATTGGTTCTGCCGAGCAAGCCTCGTGTTCACTAGTCTGTGTATTGCATGTGAACTGTGTCTGAAAAGAATAAACTAGTTTAATCATTGGCCTGTGGGATTCCAAAACATTTAAGCTACTACGGCCTAAATCGCGCAATGTCTTGACCCGTTATCCTTCAACCGGCAACCCCCCCCCCCTCCCTTCCACTCCTCCCAAAAACCAACATCATCAATCTATAACGAGCTCAAGAAC